GAGAGAGACGGGGGGGGGTCCCCCTCTGGCTGTGCACTGCTAAGGTGCAATTGCTGGGCAGTCACCCTGAAAAGCCCACAGAGACTTCACCCTTGTGTTCATTATCCTGAGAGAAGTCTCCTTCCCAGCTTCTTTCCCCCAAAAAAACCCACAAGATCCCTCCTCATTTGGAAAAAAAAAAGAGCATATACTTGGAGGCATGGGCGAAGTTGCCCCTAAGGAGAAAAGAAGCAAGCAAGTCCTGGGCTGAGAACTAGTGAACAGGTGTGGATGCCCCCAAAAACTCACACTTAGGTAAACATGGGGAATTTGCATATTCCTTGTTCAGAAAATCTGTTCTGAGATAGTGCAGGAGAAAAATTGGTTATAAAAGGCTGTAAAGATGACTTCCGTGCCCTGAGACTGCTCTGCTACTATAGAGAAACCAGGTGAGTTAGGCTCTCTCTAGCTAGGAGGAGAAAGAGCAAGAAACAGCAGAAAATGACCTCAGAGAGAGAGAGAGAGAAGGAAGAGGAGAAAGGAAGCCTAAGATTGCCAATCTACATGTAGATCTGGAAAAAATTAAAGGGGAAATCACATTTTTAACCTGGATTGCTGCTTTGTTCCAACATAACAATGAAAGAGGCTGAATAGTTTGCATCTCTGGAGTGCTCTGGGGAAGCATCACCTCTCAGGAAAGATATTGTCTCAGTGACAGTGCATCTCCTATTCAACCTGTGGTTGTTGTAGGATTTTCATGCTGTTTGGTAGTCTTCTGGAGGTTTTTCTTCCTAACATTTTGCCAGTCTCAGTGGCCGGCTTCTTCAGAGGACAGGAGCTGGGACTCCATCTGTGTTCTGATGTAGTGTGCAGGATAGTTGAATATTTGTAGCTGTCCAACCTGTCCAAAAATGTCATTCTCTGCTCTTCCACCTGGTAGCACCACTTCCCTCTTGGGGGTGTCAAGCAAAATCGACACAGCTGTGGTAGCCTGGAGGGGCCGTTGCGTGCAGCCCTCCCCGCCCCTCTCTCTCTCTGCAGCGGGAATCAGGGTGCCTCTAATTGTCCGTGTTCTCTAAGAGGTGTAAATGGCCTCGTGAGTTACATACACATTAATTAAGTAACACTGCATTTAGCTCCAAATCATGCGGAAGGCGCCCCGTGCTGTGTTTACACAGCCGTAAATTTTCTCCTCTGTTCACGGCTGGGCCAAAGCGGTGGTGCTGCTGCTCTTACCGGGCCAACAGGACCCGATCGCCTTCCCTTGAGAGGCTGAGCACCACCCACAAGGCGGTGGGTCCCCAACCCATCCAGGAACGAGAAACCGGATCTCCAGCCCCTGCTCTGAGCTTGCCGTGGCTGGCCTTGGGTGAGACCTGCTTCCTGGCTTCCTCTCTGGCCCCGCTTGGCCAGCATTTCCCATCGCCTTCGCAGGCGGCACGCAAGACCCGGGAGTTGGTGCGATGAAAATCTGTGTCGGGCCACAAGTCCTTCACGCCAGTCCGTGCTGGTGGACCTGAAGGCTGGTTCGCCGAGGAGAGCGAAGCACTGGCAATCGGGACTCTTCTTCCCTTCAGTCGGATGTTAAGTGTTCAGGAGTTGTTCTACAAGGTCATTACAAGAAGGGGGACAAAATCAGAATGAGCTAAACACAGAGAGAGAGAGATTGCCTGGGCATCGAGATGCACCCTCAGTCCTTTTCCAAGGAAGACCCCACTTGGAGGGGGGTTGGTTTTCTCTTGAAATTCCAAGTGGCAGGTGAGGAGGGCAGGAGGAGAGAATGAACCCGCTTTGGGGAATCAAAGCCTCTCCTCCAGGGACTCTGGCACCCCAGTTTCAGGTGTCTGCTCATAATTGATGAAATGAAGAGCCTTTGTCTGGCCCCTGCGTAGGGGGAGGTGGGGGGAGAAGAGAAAGGGGGAGAAAGACGGCCCGGCCGACCAGCCTGGGTGCAATTAGCCAGTAATTTCATAATCTCTTCCATATCCATCTCTTGAATAAAAGGCACCGAATTTGCATAAATAGTTCAAACCTTTGTCCTCTCTTTTTCTCCTGGTAGAAAATCCAAGACATTTGGGGGATTTTTCCCCCCCCCTTCAAATTCCCCCCCCCCCCGGTTGCCTCTTCTACTTTCCAGATTTCAGGGGCTCCCTAAACTCTGGGCGGATTTGCCATAGAGGGTGTGGGTGTGAGCTTGTGGGAGTGTATATGTGAGCTTGTGTGTGTGTGTGTGTTTTCCTTTCCAGCATTAATCAGCCAAAGATCCGAGCACAACCTC